CTCTGGTGGGGAAGTTGATGAAAACCCTAGAACTGACCTGGCTTTCGGTGTCTGGAGCTGGTTGACCCTGGGTTGTGGGGCTTCCGTAGGGCAACCTGTTGGCTGGCTGTTGTGTTCACTAGGCCTTTTAGAAAAATCTTTCCTTGACTCTGTTGTGGCCCAAACCCGCTGGGTCAGTTTCTTCACCCCTACCCTCTAGGTTGAGGATGGTCTGGTGGTGACAGCCCTGGGGGGGGGGGAGGTCTATTTGTGTCAGCCTCAAAATTAAGAAACTTGCTGGTTTAAAGAAAAACCTTAGTATGGTTTTAGGTGCCCGTGACTAAGACAAGTTCTCCTGTACAAATATTTTAAATATTCTTGGGTTTGATGAGCTGCTGGTCTTGAGTCCCACCCCCAATCTGCATCTTATTTCCACATACATTCCCTGTCATGTTTGTGGACACTAATGGTGTGGCTTGCTTTCTCCCTTCTCTTTCCTCCACTTCACCCATTCACATTTGTCTCTGCTTTGGAGTGAGATGCACTGCAGTGGTTTAGTTATTACCATGAGAATGAAGGTTGAGGCAGAGGTCCAAGATGCATGACAATAGGAAAAGGAACCTGCCCTTGGTGGAATCTTGCATGCTCCTTCACTTTCCACAGGGTCCACGATTTTGCATGTTGTGAACCAGGATCTCACTGGGGTATTTTGGTGACTAAGATTTAATTCATTTAAGATCTCTTTTGCGCCAGGCCTTGGTGGTGTATGCCTTTAATCCCAGCACTCAGGAGGCAGAGGCAGGTGGATCTCTGTGAGTTCGAGGCCAGCCTGGTCTCCAGGATAGGCTCCAAAGCTACAGAGAGAAACCCTGTCTCGGAAAAAAAAAAAAAAAAAAAAAAAAAAAAAACCCTTTGCCAGTGATCAAGTTTGAAACAAACTCCCTCTCTTGGATATATGCTTGCATTATGTTCTCATTAGTGTAAGGATCTGTCAGCACCATGAGCCTTCTGCTTTTAAAATTAGATCAGTGGAGACATCCATCTTTGGTTGGAGGCTCCATTTGCTTTCCCACTGACTGGGGGTTGTGCCTCAGCTTTCCTTTGGTAGTCTAGTTTGCTCTACCGTCCACTGCCCCTTTTTGCATTTGGTTTCTTGTATTTTATATTATAATTGAAAGAATAGATTTAGGTATATAAATGATTGCCTGTGGAATATTAACTTCACACTTAGCAAAAGTTGTAGTATTCATATTTATGTTGTACTATTTAAAAGTAATAGATTTCTTGACTATTTTATTATCTTAACTACCTTGGGCAGAAACAATTTCCAGTGTAGAAATGGAAAGCTATATGTACAGAGAGATTTAGATCCTTGGATGGTTCAGCACATTCTGACTTCGGAACATGAGGCAGGTGTAGTGCTTTGGTGAGGAAACCAGTGCAAAGGACAGAAGTCCTTCACAGGCCTTCTCAGTGTAGGCCACGGCTTATCCAGTAGAAATATATCGTGAACCAGATATACCATTTAAAATTTTCTAGTAGAATTTCTTTGAAATTTGGAACAGATGATGATCATCTTATGAATATTATGAAGCTGAGTATATTAAAGCATTTTAGCAGTAACCAGTAAGTAAAATTATTCATGCAATACTTATTTTGTGCAGAGTCTTAGATTCTCATTAGGTACTTGCTACATTTTAAATGCTGGTGCCCATCATGGGGCTCTAACCCATGACCCTGAGATTAAGAATCTCATGCTCTGCCGACTGAGCTAGCTGGAGTTCTTAATTGGTCTAGATAACAAAAAGCCAGAGTCAGATATAGAGGGAAATGCTGAGAGATCAGAGAGAAGGAGCAAACCACAGTACACCTTATCGCCTTAGCCTCAACAGACAAGAGAGAGATTTCCTGTTTCTCCCTGCTTATATCCTGTTTCTGCCCCACTACATCACTTCCTGTCTGGTACAGACCTCCAGACCTCGGTGGTTAGCTAGTGGTAAGCTCCATTCTCTGATCCCAGACAGGCTTTATTTGTACAAGCAAGATATCACCATAAGTGGATTTAACCCTATGGGAAGAACTGTGTTGTCATTGTCAGCAGGCACCCTGGCTGGGTTAGTTATTCATGCATCCATCCAATCACCATTTAAGTTGTACCACTCTATGCCTGCTGCTACCAAGCATCAGTGCTGATTCCTGTAGTGGGGTAAAAAATACTGAAACAGGAAAACTCTCCCCTAGGCACTGGTTCTAGTCATGAAGGATATCAGTTTATAAAGTAAACATGCTTGGGCTGGTGGATGGGTATATAACAATAATGTCTTTCCTATATTCACTGAATCTTGTCTTTACTCATTTTTTGAAATCTTATACTGGGGATTGAACTTAGGTTCTCACATAAACTAGGCAAGTGCTCTTCCACTGAGCTGCGTCTCCAACCCTTTTTGATTTATTTTGATTCAGGACCTTGCTGTTATGACCCAAGCTGGCCTTGAACTTGTGATCCTCCTGTCCTAGCCTCCCAGGTAGCTGGGACCATAGTGATGTACAGCCAAAAGCTGTCAAGGAATTTCAGCTTGGTCCATCTCCAAGATACTGTTTTGTTTTACAACAGGAATGCTATGGTACCTGTTCTACTCTGCTTCATAAAAATGGGGACCTTGGGAGACTGGCACTGAGGAGGCAGAGGACAGGACGACTGTGTGGCTACAGCATCTGGGAATATGTAGAGCCTGGAAATTGTGGCAAGAAGGATTTGCTTTTAGTTTCCAGAACATTTTTGTAATTGAATTTTACTGTCTTTGCAAGAGATAGACAGGAATTTGCTTGGTACTTTGAAACACCTGCTCTATATAGCATCTTAGCATCTTACACCTTTGAATTCTTCTGTGGGGACATAAGGAATTTTCTAGTCCTGCAGAGAAGCAGGCCTGCCATAGCATCATTGAATGGGGTCACAGAACACTGTGGTGCTGTTAGTAGCACTTGGCAGTGGACATTGTGTACAAAGATCTTGAGCATTGAGGGCATATTTGCCAAGGAAGTGAGGGAGGCACAGTGGGGAGGAGGGTGGTGTTCTATCTGAATGCCCAGAGCACATGCTATCCTGGCCCAAACGCAGGGAGCTGAGGTTACAGTCTCACCCTTTGAGCAAATTTCCTTAGTAGTTGTGCCTAGGGAGGTCCTGGGAATTGGATATGGTGGGTGTGGGGCCCTGGGCTTAGCTGGGAAACCTTGTGAGAGCCTCATCTCTTTAGGCAGTAACATTGTCCACTTGGCATACTGTGACAGTCATGCCTGTGTCTCTCTTCCAGATCCTGCCTGGCCTGTACATTGGCAACTTCAAAGGTAAGTGATAGTTCTTTTTTTTTTTTAAGGTTGTAAATACATATATATCACATTATGGTCATCTCCATGGATAGGTCAAAGCTCTAAGTTTTTTGGTTCCCCCCCCCACCCCGTGGTTGTGTAACTAACACCATCCATTTTCCAGAACTTTCTCCTCTTCCCAGGTTGAAAATCTGAGCCCCTGGCCCTCCAGAGCTCAGTGAGTTGGGCATATGTGACTCTGGTTCGAGGCATGTCTGACACTACTCTTTTTTGAAGGAGCCCAGGAAGATCTGATTTCAAGCTTACAGGCTTTTATGGCTAGTGAGCTACTGTGCACACATGCACAGCTCACTGCCGCAGTGGCTGTGCGTTTCCATTTAGAATGCCCAGTGATGTGAAGTCAGTAAGTACCAAAAGTCCACTGTCATCCTCCAACCAGACGGATGGAGGATTTTGTGCATGCTGGAGTCCATGATGAGCTTCATGAGAGACAGTGATCCCAGAGTAGTTCAGCCATGCAGACATACTCTGAGGCTGCAGAGAGAAGGCAGGTGCGGCATCCTTGCTTGCCTGTCTTCAGGGACCCAGCAGCCCATTGGGTCATGTGTAGTCTTTATTCACACATTTACAGTTTTATCACCAAAGCACAGTTTAAAATGGCAAGCTGCTGCAAAATGTATTTTGTGGGTAATGAAAAGTTTTAAGTTAATTGTGGTCATAGTTGCACAACTCTCAATGGACTAAAAACCACTGACGTGAATGTGTCCTCTTGAAAGGGTGAGTCTTATGGTGTGAGTCATACTTTTGTGTGACCATAGCCAAAAGGCTGAGACACTGTTGTGTCTTACAGTGCAATAAAGCTAAATAACAGTCTTAAATAGTCCATTAAGTATATTGTCCCTCAGTATCTGCTAGGGGCTGGCTTCAGGACCTCTCACAGCAAACTAAACCCAAATCAAGTCCTTTATTTAAAGTGATACAGCACCCTCATAGAACACCAGTTGTTGAGATGGGGACTAGCCAGCCACGGGCCAACCAGGGTCCTCAAGGCCCTGGCTGGTGAGAAGACATCCATGGCCTGGTGCCTTGTGGTACCTGGCAAGTGGGGCTATGACAAGCAAATATGTGGTAGAGACATGGGAGAGAAAGAGAAGCAGAATGGTTCATGTGCCTTGGAAAAAGGCAGAAAGGAAGAAATGAAGATGGTGGGGGAGGTTTGCTTGCCACCCAGGGCCATGGTGATATCCATACTGGGGGGCTGCTGCCAAGGGCCATGTCTGTGTTCCTGGTCTTACAGCAGCCAGGGTCTATGTTGATGTCTATGGCTCCTGTTGCCATCAAACAGAAAGCTGCTTTGTACACTGGAATTTGAGCTCGGGTCGTTGAATCAGTGAGGAGAATCATCGAATTAAAAACAAACATTTTAATATTACATGCTGATTCTAAAGGTCTGGGCCGAGACCTGGGGCTGTGTTGGAATTCAGGGGCCACATTGTTGCTGGGGCCATGCCAATCTGGGTGGCTTTTGCTGGCAACTGTGACCATGGTGACAGACCCAGACTGCTGCTGTGGAACATGTCTGGGTCCATAGTCCTACCATGGCTGGAGTCTCTGCCTTTTAGCTTTACAGCTGTTAGATCACTGCAATTAAATCTTTTTCTTAAAAAAAAAATAGTTAAAAAAAGAACCTCCATTGTCTCCTCTTTATGTAAACCATCTATTTAGATGGTTACCTAACACAAAATGGACATTGTATGAGAGTTGTACTGTATTGTTTAGGGAGCAATGACAAGGACAAATGGCTGTGTATTTTCAGTCCAAATGCAGGTTTTCAAACATCTTTGATCCAATTTTAATTGAACTTGGGGATACATTTCTCATGACTACAGAGAGGCAACTTGTATAAAGTCAAACAATAGCTGCTAAAATTTAAATCTTGTCAAAGTGGAAGATCCTCATATTTAGTGACATAGCCAGACTCAGAAAGACAAGCGATCCCTTCATACGGAAAGGAGATGAAAGTGGAGGGGGCTTAGTATAGAGGCAGGAGATGAAGCACAGGACAGGGCGGGAGTGGGCCGAACATGATTAAAATACTGTGTATACATACATCAGGTGTCAGAATGAAGCCTTCTATTGTTTGCAAATGATACCTGCCAGGAAGTTTTTCTTGAAATTTAAATCCTGGTGGACTTGGACTCCAGAGGAGACCTGAGAAACATCAGTGTCATGAACCTGCTCCATCAGGCTTTCCCTCCTAGGTCTGTGGGCCCCAGAGGCTACAGCCTTATCAGCATGTCTAAGCTGCATATACAAGAGGAAAGTGGGAGCCCATACCTTGATGTGAATGTGTGGGTGGCTGTGGGTTCCTGAACTGTTCCTTTTTTTAAAAAACATTACTTATTAAGGTGTGTGTGGGGGGTGTATGCACGCGTGCGCGAGTGCGCGTGTGCACACATGCTGTTTGTGTGTGTACATTCATGCCACAGTGTGGGGATCAAAGGTCAACTTTGAGGTTCGGTTCTTTCTTCTCTTTACACAGGCTGCAGGTATTAAACTCAGACTGCTAGGCCTTCAAAGCAAGTGCCTTTATCCTCTGGGCAATTTAGCCAACCCTTTGCCTAAACAGTCTTCCTCCTGTTTGTGTTGGTCATCTTTTTGATCCTGGAGTAATCAACTCAAAAAGAGGAAAGGTTTGCTTTGCTTTATGCTGAGCAGGTTTCAGCCCATAGACAGTTGATCTATTGCTTTTTGGAACTGTGTTCGTATATCATGTTGGTAATGGGGGTGGGGGTGGTGTCGGGGGGGAGGAAAGGTTCTTTTCACCTCATGGCAGCAGGGAAGTAAAAAAGACAGTGGGGGAGACTAGTATCCTCTTACCTTCTTCAAGGCCATGGCCCACTGGACTTAAAAATCACACCTTGAAGGACCTACCACCTTCCAGTAGCACTAAGCTGAGGATCAAGCCCCATGTGAGCCTTTGGAAGGCTTCTACAGTACATTCTATAGGGCGGTGTGATTCAAAGCTATGTTCCCCTGATGGATGATGGTGGTGCTGGGCTGTGGTTGAGGTCACTGGTAAAGCAGAAAGCTGCTTTGTACACTGGAATTTAATCTCAGGGTGGTTGAATCAATGAGGAGAATCTTCAAATTAAAAACAAACATTTTAATATTACATTTAAAGACCTTTTTCCTGACATTGCAAAATATTTAGAAGATTGTTTCTTAGTGTTTGTTCTATCCCAGGGCTTGTTGATAATGTAAATGACCTAGTTTGACAGTAGACCTGGAACTAGACTGGAACCCAGAACTAGACTGTTTGATGTGCCGCCTAAAGAGGTTGTTCACAATAAACCCTTAGATGCACACACACACCCACTGAAGAGACAAGACAATCTCTCATTATCCCACATCTTGATAAGTATGTTTACTGTTTGCCCCACGAGATGCATTTCTGGCTGTACATGTTTGTGCAAACTGAGTGTACTTAAATTTGGTGCCTCCGTTTCCTCCTTGCCCAACAGGCCCTGGGTATTTATTTTCCCATGTCACCAGCTATTCTTGAGGAACATCACCATGGAATACTTGCATTTTGGTTTCTTTTCTCTTGTATCCCTTTGAAGAGCTTGGCCAAGGCTAAGGACTCAGATGAGCGGGCCTTCTTCATTCTTGCTGGACTGTTTTGTAGATTAGCCAAGATTTCTGAACTCAGAGTATCCCCAAATTAGTCTTCCTCCTACAGCTGGAAGCACAAGAAAGTGCTTCCTTATGAAGATGACTTAATAACCAGTTGGTACTTCTGTATGGAATTTCTGGAAAACTATCTGGATTTTTGTTTGTTTGTTTGTTTTTGCTGTGCTGTGGATATAGATATTGTAAACCTTAGTCCTATCTCACGCTTTACTGCTGTCAGGGTAAGAACTGTCCATTATGCTCCTCTGTCTCCTGCAGCAAGTGGGTCCTTGGGTTTTACTTTCAACGTAAGTAATAATTAAGAGGTAACTGTTTTATTCTAAACATGCTTATTTTATGTGTCTCATGTAAAAACATACTATTGTACTGTACTGTAACATTTTCCATTCCCATCTTTCAGCAGCCTCCCGATTACAAAGCTTTTTAATCTGAGTACTGGACTTGAGCTCAAAAGTTGCATCAGTCAGAAATAAATTAAGGCAAAATACATAAAAGTAGTAGTCCTAAATCCACCAATCTAGAGTGTTCTGAATATGGTTAGTTATGAAGTATCAAGAAAAAACCTGCAAGTCATGTGATGTTTTCTGCCTAGACTTTTAAGAGTAATAAGCTCACAAAGACTATTAAAATGCCCATGTCTTATCTTTGATGGCAGATGCAAGAGATGCAGAACAATTGAGCAGGAACAAAGTGACTCACATCCTTTCTGTGCATGACAGTGCCAGGCCCATGATGGAGGTAAGAGGGGTTCGTGTGTGTGTGTGTGTGTGTGTGTGTGTGTGTGTGTGTGTGTGTGTCCAGACTAGTCAAGATTCTAGGGGTGGGTGAGTATTTAGATCCAGCTCCCTTTCTATAACTAACTCAATACACATATGCTCTGAATATTTCACGGTGCAGCCATGCACCTTCTGGGCTTTTCACACTCTGCAATTCAAGGTCATAAAGTAACCAAGATTTCTTGTTTACAAGAGGAAATTTCTCTGCTTATTATCTGTGTGTGTGTGTCCATGTTTGTTTATACTCTGTAGAAGTGTACATGACATTATTGAAAGCAGCCATATTCTGACACCAATATGTTCCTGTGTTCACTGGCTGGATTACTTTTGTACTCAAATCAGATTTACTCCTGTGCCTACTTGAGGACATCCAGTGTTCTGACAGAGAAGGTGTCCTTATTATATACTCCTGCTGCATTGCTTGCTTGGCTTTTTTCTAACCATCAGAAACTAAACTGATATTCCATTTCCCTTTGAATATGAAGGATATTTAAAACATAATTTATGATGGGTCATACCTCTACTCCTAGCACTCAGGAAACAAGATGACTTTGAGTTCAAGGTCAACCTGGGCTACACAGTGAATTCCAGCCTGGCTTAGGCTATAGAGTGAGGCCCTGTGTCAAAAATAAAATAAAGTTCAGGCTGAGGGTGTCTTAATGGTAGTGTAGCCAGCACACATGAAGATCTAGGTTCCATCCCTTGAGCTACAGGAAAACAGCTAAATAAGTAAGACTGATTGCTGCCTTCAAAATTATATCTGTCTTAGTAGGATGCTAATAATTCAAGTTGCTCATTTCCTGATGTTTTCCACAGAAGTTCTAATACCATTTGTGTTAAGGAGTAAAGGGGAAAGGAAGGCAAATAACCCCTATGATTTTCCCAGGCCTGGTCTGAATGGACACTGTCGGTAGGGAGCTGTTGTTTTTAGTTTTAGGGGTAAACAGGGTGTGTCTGTTTGCACACTAATTCCAAAAACATCTTCAATTTTACCCTGATGGGCCGTTTGAGCTGTTGCTCAGGACAAAATCTATTTCTGTTTCTGCTGTGACATAGCCCAGATTTAACCTCTTTGTAGAAAACAATGCCGGTGTGGTTGTGATACACGTTTTTTCTACTTTAGGGTGGGGTGTTGGGAGGGGAGGGGTGCTTGTTCTGAAAGAAAGAATCCTGGTTCAAGATGTTTTCATTGACAGTCATATCATGCAAGAATAGGTAGTATTTATGTATTTATTTTCCTAGCCTTTGGAGCTTCCAGGGTGTAGCCAGTCCAAACCAATCTAAAGTAGGTAGATGAGAATGGAGGCTGAGAAGCTGACTTCAGCAGCTGATCACTGCTGCCCAGACCCCTCCCACTCCATCTTCCCAGTCAGAAGCTCACACTTCCTTCTGCTGTTTCCAGGGGTGTTTGCTGGGGTGCTGCCTTAGCTTCAATGAGAATGACAGAATACTTTTTTATTTCCCAAGTCCGTCAGTTACTCTGAAAATAGTTATTCCATTTTTTAATCTGTTAATGGTAGTTTGTGTTTAAAATATAGACAAGCTAAACTACAAAGTGGTCATGGCTGACTTCCTCTTAAATCACAAGATGAAGCTTGAGGTTTCCTTTATTTTAATAAATTGCATAGCCGTCCTTCCCACCCTCACCCGCCAGGTCTGCTGTGCTATTGTCTACTCATTTAAATGGAACATGTTGTCATGTGAACACTGCTCTTAATCTTTTAACTTGTGTCTATATACAAGGTATTGAAGTGTTAGAAGTGAGGCCACTCCAGTCTTTCTTTCTGTCAAAATCCACCCCCTCTACACACACAAACTCAGGCTGGACTAGAAAGTAAAACAGATGGAATTGTAACCCAGGTATAGAGAAGGCATGAAAAGTCAGAGTTCTGGGCAGACTGTGGGCCTCCATTCTTAACACACTACATGTCCCTTGTATTCTGTGTCTTTTGTCTATAGGAACACATTTTTCCTTTACAAAGAGAAGAGGGAAATGAAGGGAGAGGGAATTCATTGTGCTCCTTTGTTAGTTTTTATTTTTCCCAGAGCATCATCATCCGATACCCACAGTTTACTAGCCTGTGCATTCAGAATCCTCAGAATATTGTGTCATAGCCATTGGATACTGTTATTACCTCAGTTTGATAAAAGTGCTCCTGTGGGATTTCATGTTCACTCAAGGTTATACTATACTTTTATAGCATAACATAGTTTAACATTGCCCATATTATTGTATTCATTTTTTATGTCATGGGTGATCCCTTGCTATGTTCCTATAAAGCTGGTCAGTAGCCTCTGCAGCTGCGTATGTGGTGTGGTGTGTGTACACAGTAACTAAGTTACTGGGATTCTAGAGGTTTCGGGACTTTGTTTGGCCATCTTGTCTCTGAAATTACAAATTCAGCTCCAGAAACCATGGCCTAACCAATCTGGAGAGGAGACTGGAAGTTATTGGTGTGTGGCCTTCCACAGCTCTGTGTTCTGCTGGCCCTGATCCTTGAAGGGGAAATGGGGCAGGAATGAAGGTAAGGTGTGGGATCGTGGACTGGGTTACATAAGCAGGCTGAGTAGATCCCCTACATAGTGGGGAACCCTACCTGAGGGTAGAGGAAGGGGTGAGAGAAGAAAGAGCTGAGACTCCTCATTTTCTGAGAACTTCAAAACCAGGCATGTCTATGAAATGCCCCTAGATTACTCTAGGCAGCCTTTCTCTGGAGCAGACAAGAATTCAGGAGGTGGTCTCTTCCCCAAATCAAGAGATTTTAGTCACATAACATCCAGGACTTCCAGAGGCATGGCTGCCAGGGAGCCGTACATGGGGTTCTATAGTGTAAGTACTTTGTGGGTACCTCAAGAGTTTTAAAGCATTGAAGTTACTGTCTTAGAGGCCTTTAGAGTCTTAGATCAGCTTTGATTGCAAGAGAGGCCAAGTGAGAGCATGTGGTCCCATTGTTGAATTGATGAGGGCATCTGAGAATTCTCTGAGGATGAACTGCTGTGGGTATGGAGTGTGATGCTTTGGGGAAACAGTTTGGAAATTTAGTATACCATAGACTCCTGTGGAAATCCAGGTCAGGTTGAGAGTTGCCAGGTAGACACGTATTTTCATTCTCTCTGAGCAAGGATCCTGTGTGTGCGCATGTTGGTGTGACACATGACTGCCACCAGTATTGTGTAGCTATATTATCAGAGTGACCAAAGAGTGCTCAAGCATCTGCCACTCTAAGGCCAGAGAGACAGTACCTAGACCCTGTGAGCTCAGGCTGCCTTTGTACAGATTGCACCTCCCCACGTCACTGTACTTGTATGGCTGTGAGATTCTGCTATCTGTAGAAGGGAAGGCTCTGTAGTTCTAGTACCTATTGGATATATATCCTCTGTGAATATAGCAGTCTGTTTTCTGTCACAATTTCTGACCAGCACAGTATCCTAAACTGCATCTACCACAGGTCAGATGAAACCTGTTTAGTCATTATGCATTGCAGATTTTATTTTGCAACCAAACTAGGAGCTCATGCTTTGTTATACTTTAGCTTAACTACACATAACTCACCGTTATTTGGATAATTTGGGAGAAAGTTCCCGGAATAACACTTGAAGTGTCTAACACTCCTACCAGAGTGCCTGGAGGGAAAGACGGGAAGCCTCTGATCTCAGGCAACCAAAGCTGCTGAGCCACTGTCTTTGGTCAAGTGGAAGCATGGATTTCTGATAAGACAAGGTTTGTGTAGCCTTTGGTGCATGGAATAAAATAGTCCAGGAAGAGAAGCCTGGAACTCCAGTTATGCTCCTCACAAGAGTTTCTGAATAGATAGATCTTCCAGAATGAAGGCGCTTTGCTTGCTTGCTTATTGAACTCAAGAAGAATCCCAGTATGGGCAAGCTACAAATCTAAGGAAATGCCTGGGGGAGAAGAATGGAAGAGAGAAGGAAAAAAAGCCACACCGTCATGCTGGAATGGAAGTCTAACACAAGCATCCCAGCTTTGGAGAAGGAGTATGGGAGGCCAGTGTCAGGGAAAGCAGCTTTGAACACACAGAAAGAAGACAAGGAGGAATTCACCTTCCTGAGTTACTCAAGACAATGCACAGAGCTGCACTGTGATATGGACAGAAATTGTGGGAAGGAAAGGTACCTCATTAGAGGACTGATTCTTCTGCCTGTTTCTAAGGTGAGCCTGGCTTCCTAGGAGTGGTCCTTTAGCCAGGGAATTGGCCAGGACCAACTGGACTATTAGGTCTCATCCAGGCCAGAGACTCTGTTCTCTTTACCAAAAATTTTCTCTTAGTAGGTCTTCATTGCTACTTTAATCCCATCCCCAAAGCCATCGTCTCTGAAGAGGTAACCCTAAAATCATTCAGGAACTGGGTCAGGCTCAGAGCAGAATGAAGATCCTCAAAAACATCATAAAAGGGTCTGAGGAGATGGCTTGGTCAGCAGCGTGCTTGCTTTGTAAGCATGAAGGCATGAATTTGGATCTCCCAGTATCCACCTAAAAATACCAGGTCCACAAGTGCATGCACTGGGAAGATAGAGACAGGAGAATACCTGGGGCTTGTTACTAGCCAGTGTAGCTGAACCCATGAGCTCCAGGTTCACTGGAAACCCTGTCTCAAAAAATAAGGTGTAGATTTATTAAGACATCTCACATTGATCTCTGGGCTCTACTTGCACACACATACATGCACAAATATGGACACACATTTCACATATAAACATAAAGCGGCACACAAACTTAGGTTCCTTACTCACTAAGGTAACCCCAACTCCCTCTGAGATTCTAAAGAGCTATAATCCCTTTTCTGTTCCTCTGCCTCTCACCACCACCATATGTGTGTATGTACTGGTGGAAAATTCTTGCTAGGCAGGTGCTGTAACAAGAAGCCACACCCCCAACCCAGCTACTACCTTTTGTCTGACAAATCCCAGCAGATTGGGTTCCTGTAGTTGTTCTCTCCTAGT